GCCAGTAGCGGAAACTGACGCGATGATTGAAAGCAACAGCAGCACATGCTCACTCTTCAACATCTTGATTGGTACTGATCAATAGGGAGACGAACATGATTATTATGCTCCTTCTAATTTTCTACGAACTGAAAATGCCAATGTTATACAGGGTGGCTCGAAAAGAAATTCCTTTTTTCAGTGGGGCACCATATGTATAATATTCCTAAGTGTTGATTATCCCTGGCAATATTAACATGTCAACATGACATAGAGGTCTTGATCATTCAGTGGCACTATATTATTATATATGTTGTACGAGTTAAAACACACCATAGGAAGAATAAATAAATTTGCTATACCGAATGTCTGAAATGGAACATAACCTCAAAGAGCTTTGTCTAGTATTGATGTATGATAGCGTTTTTGGTCATCTGTCAAATGTCAAACGTCAGGCCATGAGTGCCCTATGTGAGCTTGTATTGCTATTATTGCTGTATATCAAACGGATACTCTATCATACGTATGTTTTGCTGAGTGTACCTGTGAGACGCCCTATTTCTTATCGCTATTGCTAACTCAAACATCCAGTATATTAAATTATTAGGTAGCGGTACTTGCAGGTCATCTAGTCACGTCGTGTCATCAATCCTTTGTTAACTGTCAAATGTCTTATGTAATACGTCAGCTGTCTAATCCCGCAAAAGTGGGTGAGACGTCCAGTATATTTTTTTTCTTTAATTGCTATCCAACTCAAACGCCCTGTATATATCATGTTATAGCGGGTAGCCTTTATATGTAGGTCGGAGAGGTATAACGCCTTTTTGGGTTCACCCTATTTTTTTTTTCCCAACTATTACCCAACTCAAACACCCTGTATATAACCGTTGTTAAGTGAAAAATGGAATAAAATGCGCACCGTTATCTCTGGAACGGATCTCTCGCTTTGCTCACCGATGATGACGACCCGTTCGCTAGGCCGCGAGTAGCTAGCCGAGTCAGGCCGGCCTGTGATTGGTCGGCCGAGTCACGTGGTTTGGAGAAAAGTGGAGGGGAGGGGCTGGACTATAATCCGGCGACTCCTACTGACAGAGAGATCCGAGGTAAGTATACTGTGTAATAATAAAGGACCCAACGTCGCAGTCGCTTGTGATGGGACCCTGAATAGTATGAAGTGTGCGAAGTGTGCGAAGTCAAATCCTGAAAACTATGGTTGGCATTTTGATGATTTCTTAAAACCAACAGGTTTTATCGGAGATCAAACTCCTTTGAAAATCCAGGACATTGTCGAAATGGAAGCAAATGAGGAAGAATCTAATGAATCAGACGAATTCGAGAGTCAAAATGATACTTCTGATGAATCAGATATTGAATAGAAAATATTTATTAGAATTTATTTTTCATTAATATTATTTTTGTATTTATACTGTCTTTTAATAAAATTTTAAATCGTAATACAAGATGTCTAGTCTATCTTTTTTGTTATTTCTTAATTTAAATTTTTGGCGGTCCACTTTGTTTCTATTTCCAGAAAGAGCAAAAAAATTTCAAAGTAAGTATTTGATATTTTCATTGTCTATTATAGATTATAGATATATCATTATGGTTATAACGCAATATATTGATATTATATTGTTTTTATATATTAGTATTATATTAAATATATTTAATTATTATGTAATTAATTAATTATTTTTTTTTGCTACTGAAATATCAGTTGCTCCAAAATAACACGCACTGTTTACTATATGAAGGGTAGTAGAGGTACCTCTACCCTCCATAGTTTACACACCGAGCATGCGCACTTTCTACTATTCAGGGTCCCATCACAAGCGACTGCGATGTTGGGTCCTTTATTATTACACAGTATACTTACCTCGGATCTCTCTGTCACACACTTCCACGCGCGTTGAAATTAAAATCTTTAAAATTCGCAAACCCCTAATAGGACCGGAATTTTCGCAGACAACCCTATATCAACGTGTTCGCAATTAAACAGCGCTTATGATGATATAATTTTTTTTAAATTATACAATCCAGTGAAAGTAACTGGCATCGATATACCTGTGTTTACCTGACAACCCAGTAGTTCACCCAGGTAAATAGTAGACAACCCAACGGCTGCACATTCTATACGTTTTATACTTTCAGTCAGGACACAATTATTTTATTATCCTGATGTTGCAACATTTAATTAAAAATAATTTTTCGAAAAATAATTAAAAATAGTCTGCCCAGGATTTTTTTAGCCAACCCATTTTTAATTTGTTTTCTAATATACTAAATTCATGATAAAATCTATTTCGTTCTATTATCAGCTCGGTGAAGGTCGATTTAGGTTCGGATCTTCTACTAGGGTAAGTATACCCATTTCACAGTGCCTATGGTTGATGTGGTGGTATCACACCGGGCGATGGCGTTAACCATCTCCCACCTATTGGCGTCCTTTTAGTCGCCTTCTACGACAGGCAGGACTTACCGTGGGGTTATTCTCATCCGACCACCACACGGTTCAATATGAGATAAAAACTTTGAATTAGTTGACTTTTTTATTTTTCCTAAAAATCACTGATTCCACTAAAACTTCAACACTCTTTTGCATGGAAACCAAATGGTATACCGAAAAGTATCATGAGACATAAATTGTAAAAATGTTTTATTAGTTCATTTTACCATTGGGTCATTTTTTGTGTGAACGGCTTCCTCTGCGTGTTGAAAGCTGAAAACCATCAAAAAACAATATTTTGTGCTTTTTTGGGATTTCCTGATATTTGCCGATGAAATTTTTGGTGGACAACTTCAGATTCGTGTTGAGCACATCAAAAAACAAGGAATAAGTCATTGAAAACAGTTACACCAGAACTTTACACCCTAAACTACCGATTGATCAGACTATATGTATATACCGATAGTCTTTCATATTGACTTTGTTTTTTTTTGTCTCAGACGATGTCTAGGAAAAGATGTATGTATCAGTTGCACCACATCGCTGACTATTTGTCAGAACTTCCAAGTTTATTCGACTTTTTTTTGGGCAGAATCGATTTATGGGAGCCGACATCTGCGAAAAATTCGTACTTATGATATGTACCACCCTCAAGGACCCTCAAAGACTGACGGTACATATATGTACAATCCTCCAACCGCTTCTAATAAAGAAAAAGTGATTGAATTTTCGATGTAGATGTTTTATTTGATCGCCACTGACGAATAAAAATCTCAGAAGACAAATCAGAGAAGACAATTATGTGAGTGTCTCGTATTGGCAATTTTCCAGCATTGTAACATCGTTAATTTCTCCTGTTTAGAACAAAGAACCATTTACCCTATCCAGAAAACTCAAAAAACATGTTGTCGACTCATTTTCAATTCGAGAAAATATGATCATGTGACCCATAAACTCAGGAAACTTTAGTGGTTAGATATGAGCAGTTCCACGAAATATCAGTTCTTCCATTTCATTCACAATTTGCTGACGGATTCAACTCCAGCTTATCTTAAAAAAAAACTAATTTTCAGCAAAATGTCCATGATATAAATGTGACACATCGGCTAAAATTACAATGCCTCATCATACCACGTCTATATTCGCAAGAAGCTTCACATACAACTCGGTTTTACTGTATAATTCATTAAGACAATTCAAACTATCACCTTCGCCGCAATTCCGTGAAAAAATTTAAAGCAATTTGTTGAATAAAACCTTACATGTCGAACAATAAGTGGAAATGTTTATGTGAAGCTAGCTATAGGTTTTTAGGTTGAGGATTAGTGCTGGAATCAGAGTATAAGTCGAGCACAGGTTAAGTGTAAGAATAGCTTCCTAGCTAATCTTCGCCTTGTGCACATACCATCTATACCTATAATTCGATTCCAGAAAAAGTCAAAAACATTACCGGGGTTCCACTTTTCAAAGGAGAACTTAGGGAATTCATTCTGAAAAATTCAAGAAGTATGTTTGTTACACGAATTAAGTTGAAAGAATCATTATTTTGTGAAACCTTCTTCTGCACTTCACTTCATTCCTATAATATTTTTCATTACACTTCATAATATAGTAGTTTACATTTCATAATTATTCAATCGAGAAGGTGTTATATCACAGATTATTCCACGCTTATGATGATTATTACCTGTAAAATATTGATGACTATACAATGTCTAATTCTAATATATTTTCATTGTCAATTTCATATTATTTAAGGCATGTATTATTTAAGGTCCTTTATCTTATTTTTTTTTTCATCTCGAAACAAATGTTCATTCATTCATCGGGTATGTTCATTTATTCATCAATAATTTCTTTATCATTACTATGTTTTGTACTAAATAGAGATTCGATTTGAATAAATGATATTATTATTATTATTATTATACCACATATTGATATGTAATGTTCTTCTGAGGAAATAAAGACGAATTATCATCATTATTATTATCATTATCATTATAATTATCTTGGACTGCCTGAGAATGGTGCTTCCGCTTCTCTCAAAAAAATACAGGCTATAATTTTTGCATTACATTAACTCTTTGACATCATTGACCTGCCTTCGCCATAAGTTATTTGGAAAGTAATGAAAATTGTGGAAAGAACGTTGCATAGAGAGTACTGTCATGAGTTGACCTATGAACAGGTTAGGTGCCAAGTCACCAAAAGCACGTTTCATGGACGTTTTAGGTACGTCCTGCCTGAACATTCAGGACGTCTCGAAAACGTTCATTTCACGACGGCCGACGTCTTAGCCAGACAGCACAGAATATTTTATGAATATTCTGACAACGTTCAAATATTCTCATAGAATGTCCCCAGAATGATCATAGAATATTATCATTCTGCAAACAATATTCTATGAACATTCTGATTGACATATTCTCAGAGAATTCTCTTTGAATATTCTGAGGATATTCTTCTCGAATATTCTGAGAATCGAAATATATGATAATTAATAATGTTCCTATTTTTAATCAATATTTATGGCCACTTTTACCAAATCTTAATAAAACGCAAAAAATGTTTCATAAGATGATCTTTTATTCGAGCCAATATCCATATTTCATGCAGCAATCTGTTTCACAATAATTGAGTGTTTTCGAAATTGACATTTTTTCAACACCTTAGTCACTTAACAATGTTGTTTCGTCATCAGAATATCAATCACATATACAAAAAGCAACAATATACAAGATGTTTCATAATATATGTGCAGGACTTCAGGATGTGATAGCTCGATCAAAAATGAAAAGAAAGTTTTTATCAACTCAACCTCTAAATGCATTATTTTCGGGATGTGTGGAAATCGTTTCCTGCGAATATCTCTGGAACAATTCATCGCACAGAACACAGCTTCTTTCATAATGTCACAATGCTGAGAGATTTCGAAAGGGTAGCCGTTTCTCTCTCCATCTTCTGTATGTGGTTAGTTTCATTGCACGCAGTCATTATTCCTCGAAAATTGCCGATGTTTTTCAACATAGAATTTGATTTTGCTCGGAAACTATCAAGAATAGACCTTGACCAAGAAATCTTTTTTTGTGTGTAGAAAACATTGACGATTCTAATGGGTTGCTCAAAATTCTACCTTCTTCAGTGGCGTAGTAGTTGGGGAATAAAACACCCACTACCCCTTCAAAATCATCACCAATTATAACAAAAACAAATCCACAATCCAAATATTATGATCAAGAAAATGCTGACGAAAACTGTTTTCTTTGCGATACTTTAATTTTTAATTTCAACACCTCGTATTCAAGAAATGGTGCATTATAAGGAGTGAGTTGATGAAAACGTTATTTGAATTTTCGGACGAGCTATCACATCATGAAGTTCTGCGCATATAGTATGAAACACCCTGCATACAAAGTTGTAATACAATGTTCTCCATTTCTAACTAGGTCATATCCTGCATGAAGGTATATAGAAATTCTCTGAGAAACTTTGGTTCATTTGAAATGAAAGCGCACTAAACCTCGTTCATGAGGCACATTTCCAATTTTCACCAAAACAAAATAAAACGCATGAAATATCAAAATTATTGTTGTAAATATGTATATCTTCCTTATTGGTAGTTGACTCGATAGTAAAAACTTGAACTATGTATATAGATCTACAGACTTGTAACCATGCATTGAAACTTATTTGAAATTCTATCAGAATGAGTAGGTATATTCTATCCAAAATAAGTTGGAAAGCCTCGTGCAAACAAACCTTAAACGAATCGATAGCTCCTTCAATAATTTACTTAAGGAAACCATACATATTTCGATCTCGTTGAAAAATCACTTTCGAAAACACTAAAAGGTATGTCCCAAAAGGATGCTTGGTCCTCTTATCTTCTTAGTTTTTAAAAATGCAAGATGAGAACTAATTGAATGCAAAAGTTTTTGTATTATGAGAAATATAGAATCAAACCATCCCACTGGGACACACACAAAATTTTCACCAAAATAGAAAATATCACAATTGAAATTAGTATGTATCATATGGCGGCGAACCATATCTTTCATAAATTCCGTCGTAAAATTCCATATTCTCCCTGAATGGATTTTCCAGAAGTTCCATATTCAAATCGATGTTCATGTAATACAAGTGGTTCTGTTCTACAGGCAGCCATGTTTTATTCTGGAACAGCGCATCTATGGATGGTGTAGGATTACTGAAAAAAGATAACGAAATGATAGTTAGTAACGGTTACGCGGAGACGATTCTACGAATAACAGAGTTCCTAAAGGCTCTCCACTTGGGCCTCTGTTATTTAAAATTCATACTAGCGAACTCGGTGGGTGTTTTGAATTGTGCAATTCACATTATTTTCATTAATTTACAGGAATTCGAGGGTCTACTATTCAGTAGGTACTGTACATCTCGAGAACGTCTATATAGTATATATATAGTATGTATATTAATGTGAATGTGACAGATTTAAGTGACTTAATAGTGCAAAATAGTAGATTGTTTTATTAGGATCAAAAGTGACACTTTGTTTGACAAGCGAATTTTGCATTTGCGAGGCGGAGCGTTTAGCGAAGCCGAGCGAAAGCAAAATTTGCGAGTCGAACAAAGTCACTTTTGATCCGAATGAAACATGCTATTTTTTCTGCAACCGAAACAATTAACTCAAATGAACATGTGAAGTAACCACCAATGCCGTGCCATATGTATGCAATGCAACAAATATTGACAAATAATCCATGTGGTGAGAATATTCTACCTGCATTAACAGCAGGTTAGGTTTTCTATAGGATGTTCGAATTTCGAATTGTAGTTTCAATATAAATACAACCACAGAGTGACATATTATTTGTGTATGGACCAGGTGCTCTAATGGCAAATACCGCGCCAGTGCCAGCTATAGGAACAAGACGTGGAAAATGTTAGGTTAGTGAGCATATTAACAATGATAATAGTGATTATTTATTCCTCTCCATAATACACTGCTTTTGACTTGATAATCAAATGAAGCTAAACAATATCGTTGCTTGAGACAAAAAAACTATTGCTTGCCGTGATTATTCAAAAACAAGTTATACATCCCGAGAATAACGAATGAAATACAGATCAAGCAAGTATTTGAATCTTCAAGGCTTTCCTGATCAAAACAAAAATACTTAACTGAGATGTTTATAATTCCAATACTAAACTATAATAAGGTGTATTTATATCTCCAGCATGGGTATGAAATGCCAAATCTGCGGAAATCGGAAACAAATCAGGTATGCGTCTCAACCCAAATAACCAACCGTCACAATGTTGATTATTCTTGATGACGTCCAGTAGATCCTTTTTAGTTCCTAGGAGCTAAAGTTCAACTTTAGCTCCTAGGAACTAAAATTCAACTTTAGCTCCTAGGAACTAAATATGTTGCCTAGCAACATACATATTTTTGTGTCAGTAATAGAAACGTCAATTTAAGAGCTAATTTTGGTATCAAAATGGACGACTTTTGTGTCGGTTGCAGAAAAAATTGTTTTTGTAATAGGTACCTCAAATGAGAGCTCTCAATCAATAGTATTCACCTGTTTAGGATTTTTTTATCTCACGCAGGGTGGCACCAAAATATTTTCGAATAAATAAATTATATTGTGTAATAATTATATGTTATTCTATCAGATGTTCAAAAGCCATTCCATTCTGATATGTAAGCAAGAGTATAATCGATTTCCAAATTCCATTTCAACATTCATCGGGACACATCTCAAAAACAAGAATGGCATTTGATAATCGATTGTACTATTGTATGAAACTCAATGGAATGCATTTCGAACATTTGATCATATAAAATATAATTTTAACATTACACAATTTATTTTTTCGAAAAAGGTTTTGTGCCACCCTGTGTTGATGGATGTAAAAGAATTCTTGTACAGGTGAAAACTACCAAATGAGGCCTCTAATTCGAGGTATCACAAAATAGATAGTGCTTTTTGACATTTTAAAGTTGGGGTGTGTTGCGCCTAAGAGGTGGCTCGTACCTCCACTGAAATATGGTGGTTATAATGTTTCCTAACTCATTAGCATTTGTGTTGGTTGAGGGATTTTCTTGAATCCTGTTATGTTCTTGATTTGCAGCTTTTTCTTGAGGTTTGGATTCGGTTTCATAAATAATTCAAAGGATTAAGTAGAGAAACGTTTCGCCCATGGCCATGGGCTTTGTCAATTTATAAAATTTTTTCAGCTCTGTAAAATAATGGTTTACATTGTAGGGTGATAGTAATGAGACCTAAATCAAAAGAAAAGAGAGATACGTACCTTAACCGATTCATAATTCCGGCGATTGTGGTATTCTTGTGAATATTTTTATTATTTTTATTCAAACATACTGTTCCTTTTTATTTTCCCTTCTTTTTTCTTTTGGAAAGAGTTGAAACATTTTTGTTGCATCGTTGCATGTGAAATAGAAACACGAGGGAAACTACAATTTGTTGAGGTTAATTTGGAATTGTTCGTCATGACTATGCAAAGGACATTAATGAAAGATGATAAGAATGACATGGAACAATTATAGAAACATATATCAGGTAAGAGTTTTCTTCTTCTTTTTTGTTGTTCTTTCAACATTGACAACACACAAAGTTTTATAAATCTTGGCAGGTGTGAATGCAGTAGTGAAAAATTGGGTCATACACGTGATCTCAAAACGTTTAATGAACGTGAAACAGAGTAGTAATTGAAACGTGAAATATAGGTTGCTTCAAAATATAGTTGTTATTGAATAATTGATTCAACAGACTTTATACGTGATTTTGGAACGTTGAATGAACGTAAAAAAAAGTACGTAATTGAAACGTGATAAAGAGGTTGCTCAAAGATTCAGGTTGCTGAACAATATCATACTCGACGTTATTTCGATGTTCTATGAACCTCATTGAATATACGATGAGGAATCACGATAATGACACGTTGCATACTGGTGGCTATATAGACGAGTTGAATCATTATCGTTTATTATAAGTTGAATCAACGTTTGGTTGAATATACGTTACGAAAGTAACGATGCGAAATTCAACGAGTAACGTTTAATCAACATCCACTACTATACATAAACGTATATTACACGTGTGTGTGTTTATTGGGTTCCAAAAGAAAAAAGAAGGGAAAATAAAGAAGGAACAGTATGTTTGAATAAAAATAATAAAAATATTCACAAGAATACCACAATCGCCGGAATTATGAATTGGTTGAGGTACGTATCTCTCTTTTCTTTTGATTCAGGTTTCATTACTATCACTCTACAATGTAAACCATTATTTTACAGACCTAAAAAAATTTAATAAATTGACAAAGCCCATGGCCATGGGCGAAACGTTTTTCTACTCAATCCTTTGAATTATTTATGAAACCGAATCAAAACCTCAAGAAAAAGCTGCAAATCAATTAGCATTTGTGCCAAATGTCGAATTCCAAATTATTTAATTTCGCGCGATATTCGTATTGAAAGTTCTCAAACTTTCATCACCTTGTATAAGCTACCCGTGCAAAAATGAACAGAAAACGTCAAGCTAATCTTATGTGATAGTTAAACAGGCTTCAGAAATTCCAGAATCTCTTGGAGCGGACCTAGGGAGGTTAGGGAAAGGACGTAGGTTTTGGTTTTTTTTTTAACTTTTGGAGGTTATAAGTTCTTGGGAATACTTTCATTGGCAGAGAACTCCAAAGCTTCGGCGTTCTGTAGAGGAAGGAATTTTGGTAGAGTATTGTTCGACATTTTCCAAGGTCGACAACGAAGGGATGTGGTGACTGGACTCGCCGAGTTCTTCATACTGGTTATGCTAGTGATGGAATTATAGCAGACATTTTCCGTTAAGTGTATTTGGAAAAGTGAAAGGTCGCCAAATTTTCTACGGTGTTCTAATGGAGTCAAAAAGTTAGTGAGTGTGGCATCACCCACCAGGCGAATGGCTCTTTTCTGGATGGAATCTAAGAACATCAGCGTATGTTTGAGTGCAGAACAGTATTCTAAAACTGTGTCTGTGCTTTGTATATCATCAGGAGCTGTTGAGGTGTAGGTGTAGGTCTTGGAAGGAATGGTGCTATCAGACATTGTTATTTTAGGCATAATGAGTTTCGCCTTCCTAACAAATACAGGCTTGAATGTTGGTGGCGGTGAATCCAACTAGGTTGTTGGTTCCCCAGGCTGTGATTCTTGCAAGCTCTCCATTGACAGCGTTGGCCTGCCATCGTCGTAAGTTCTCAATTTTCTGGGAAGAAATGGAAATTCTAGAAAAGAACGCAGCATGGAGAGTACTATCGTCGGCAAAGCTGTGTAAAGAACAAGTTGTTGCTCTCAATAGATCGTTGATATCAATTATCAAGAAATGGTGCCAGAATTGATCCTTGTGAAACGATGGAATTGATAGCGATGGTATCAGACTATATTCAGTCCACCATCACGAAGAGTGATCTGCCTGAAAGAAAACCCAATGGAAGATGAACTTTGATAGCGAAAGCCATATTGTCCATCAATAATGATTCCAGACTTTTCCAGATATTTCATGAGCTCAGTGATGATGACTTTTTTCATCACTTTGGAGCTGACTTATAACAGGACAATTAGCCTATGGTTGTTGGGATGGCTCTTGTTCCCTATTTTTGGAATTGGTTAGACTATAGTTATTTTCCAGCAAGATGGAAAAATACCCGAGTTGTAGGAGATGGTGAATAGCTTGCAGAGAATCAGTGTCAATTCTGGTGCACACTTTTTGAGAAGAATGGATGGAATTTCATCAGGGCCATTGGACCCATCCGCTCCGAGATCAAGCAGAATGCGTCTGTTAGTTTGTTGACGAAAGACAATTTTGGACATTCGACTTTCAACGGGTAGAATATCTGGCGGCACTCTTTCCCGGAAATCCAAAATGGAGTTTGCTGCGAACGTCTTCGCAGAAATATTCGCGTTCTATTGCGATGTTGTAGCTAATGGGCCGTAGTCTTTGGAGAGTGGTGGGAATGAACTATCAATGAAATTACTTCCGATTACTTTAGCGAAGAACCAAAACGAACGGGAGCCATTGAGATGTCTATGAGTTTTAATCTTATTCTGGCATTGTATGATTCTTTTGATGCATCTATTGTTTGGCTGCAGTCATTTCTTGTTTCAAGATATTCTGTTCTAGTTGCGCCAGCGACGGTAGGTTGTTTTTTTTTTCAATGCAACAACTCTAGAACAGTTCTGATTGGACCAGCATATCGAAGCTGATGGTTTATTCGAAGGATAAGGTATTTATGTGTCCATTTCAATCGTGATGATCTCGGACATTTCCACAGCACACTGTGGAGAATCCTCAGAATCAAAGCATAGTCTGTGCCAAGATAACTCAAAGAAAAATATGCGGAGACCGTCCCAGTCTCCTGAGTTATAATGCCATACGAGACGTGGAGGTGCTGGAGTAGTTGATGGAATAGAGGATGGGCAAGTTGTAGAGATGAGTGTGTGATCAGAATTGCCAAGTGAAGCTCGTACATCTATGGTGTAAGGAGCTGAATTATTAGTGAGGAATGAGTCTAGCATGTTTTTTGAATGCTTGTTGACATCAGGAATTCGTGTAAGTTCCTTGATGAGCTGCTCTAAGCCGTGAGTGATGTTGAAAGCTTCGACTTCTTGCTCAGCTCCATTCGTTTTGTTGGAGTGCACGAGCCAAGCAGTGTTGTGTACATTAAAATCGCTCATGATTTTAATTTCTGCTGCTGGATGGTTTTGCTGCATTAGGTCGAGCTTCAAGGATGAGACCTCGAACAGCTCTCCATAGGATTAATCATTTGGTGATGATAGTAGAGATGACGAGGATATTTGATCTGTTTCTGGCTATGGAGTTTGAACAACATAACATAAAACTCATCTTGTTCCGAAGTTTTGGCTGTCGGCTTCAGAGAGTGGTGGGAATGAACTGTAAGTGAAATTCCTTCCGGCTGCTTTAGCAAGAGGCCAAAACGAACAGGAGTTATTGAGACGTTCAATGTGTTTTGATCTCATTCTGGCATTGTATGATTCTTTCAATGGGTCTATTGTTTTTCTGCAGTTATTCCTTGCTTTAGCATATTCTGCTCTAGTCGCGACGTGAGGGTCCTTGCGCTAGCGATTGTAGGCTGTTCGTTTCAAGGTGACAACTCTAGAGCAGTTCTTGTTGAACCAGGGTTTCGGAGCTGATGGTATTTTCAAAGAATGAGGTACGTATATGTCCATTCCAAGCGTGATGATCTCGGATATTTCCGCAACACCCTGTGAAGGATCCATAGAATCAAGGCATATTTAATGTCAAGGAAACTCGGAGGAAAACATGCGAATACCTTCTCAGTCTCCTGAATGCCATACAAGACGTGAGGGTGCTTTAGTAGTTGATGAAATGGAGAATGAGAAGGTTGTGGAGATTAGTTTGTGATAAGAATTGCCAAGTGGAGCTGGTACATCTATGGTGTTAGGTGCTGAATTATAAGGAAGGAATAAGTTTTGTGTTGGCTGAATGATTATTGACATCACGTATTCGTGTAGGTGCCTTGATTCGTGTAGGTTCCTTCATCCGCTTTGTTGGGGCGTACGAGCCAAGCAGTGTTTTGTACATTGCAATCGCCCATAATAATGATTTCTGCTGCTGGATGGTTCGCTGAATTGGGTTGAGCTCCAAGGAAAAGAACTCGAAGAGCTCTTCATAGGATGGATCATTTGGTGATGAGAAGAGACAACCAAGATATCTGGTTTGTTCCTGGTTATTGAGATTGAATCACATAGCATCAAACTTATCTGGTTCCTAAGTTTCTTCTCGATGACAGGGCCAATATGTGTGGCTTTTCAATCTGAAGGTGTCGATGGAAATCGTTAATGTTCTTACTCAGACCACGGATGTTACATAGGTCTATCTTGAGGACTTTTTCAGCCTATTCTGAACCTCCTCTAGCATCTGTCGCACGGAAATCCGCATGCTTCCGGATAATTTTACTTGAGAACTTATCATCGCTATCTCTGTTTCGAAAAGGGCGGTTGACGTGGAAGAAGAAGGAAAATGGCTTGGGTTGGGTTGGCCGGAATCATCAACCAGCTACTGGAACACGAGTAAGTATATCCATTTTACAGTGCCTATGGTTGATGTGGTGGTTTCGCACCGGGCTATGGTCTTAGCCATCTTCCACCTATTGGCGTCCATTTAGTTGCCTTCTACAACAGGCAAAACTTACCGTGGGATTATTAGAATAGAATAGAATAGAATAGAATAGAATAGAATAGAATTTATTCCTCGAATACACACATATTACATACGACTATAATTAATTTTTTTCAATGGAAGATTTTCATGCATGCTGGAGCTCATGTGTGAGCTATTGAGAAGAGCAGTTCATTTTTAGTTTGTTTTTACACAAATATAATAAGCAATTACACAAATTGTAATGATAATAATAAAAATAAATAAGATGGTGAAACATATTCGCAATATTTGAAAAATGCATCTAAGCTTACATATAAGTGAAGAATTACATATTGATATTGTAAGAATGAGTTAAAAATGTATATGTTAATATTGTATAAATATAAGAATAAAAAGAAATATATACAAAATAATTCACAAGTTTATAAGTATAAAAATCAAGCGATTTATATGTGGGCATTGAAGAATTGTTTGGTATCGTAATAAACGTGGGTCTGAAAAAATTGTTTGACCTTATTTTTGAAAATATTTAGTGAAACTATTCCTATTATTGAGGACGGTAGGTGGTTGAATGTTTTTGTTGCCATATATAAGGGACCTTTCCTGTTCACTGTATAATTGAATTGAGGTGGTATGTACTTGTTTTTGTTGCGTGTATCATGGTTTTGGACATCCGTGAATTGTTCTAGTTCATGATTCTTTTTGAAAGCTAATAAGGAAAATTTGTAATTGTGAGTATTTTCAGTCTTTCAAAATGACTCCTACAGGATTCGATCCGTTTTATCCCACAAATGGCCCTGAGAGCTCTTTTTTGTATCACAAATGTGCTGTTGACATCTACTGAATGTCCCCAAAACTCTATACCATATTGTACTAAGCTGTAGAAATAAGCGGAATATACTGTTATTGCTGATTCTATACCGATATTTTTTCTTATGGTAAATATTGCGAAAGTAGCACTATAGAGCTTTTTATTTAGGTTATGAATATGATTTTTCCAATCCAACTTTTCGTCTATGTGAATTCTGAGAAATTTTACAGTTGTTCTCCCCTGTATTTCACCATAGGGTGTTTCGATCGTGATTTGGTTTGTATCCTTATTTGAATGGAAGGTTATAATATGTGTTTTATCTGTATTAAGGCATAACTTATTCGCGGAGAACCAGTGCATTATTTCTGTAAGTTTCTCGGATGACGACACCGATAAATCTTCAAGGTTATTGCCTGAGTCTATCACACTCGTATCGTCCGCAAATAAGCAGAATTCTAGAGACGGAAAATTAGCCACTAAGTCATTGATGTATATCAAGAATAATATCAGACCCAGAATCGATCCCTGGGGAACACCATATTGAAGCTTTCCGTTATTAGAGTGATCCGATCGCCACACGGATCATGCGTGAGGGTTCTCAGAGAATTCAAAGGAAAGACAAAGTTGGTCGAGCACACTCTATAAAACAAAAAAATTACACAGCGATCGGCTTGAATATACTTTGCCACTTCGAGCATGGATGATTCCCATAATTATTAGAGTAATTGACTGGCTCAACATGAAGAAATGTTGTGTATTGAGAGAATATAACAATCCCTATGCATTTAACATCTTTTTTCAGATCTCCATTTTCTCTTCAAACCGCGAAAATAATCAATTACTATCTTATTGATTTCCATAATACCAACGTGCTCATCTTCCAGTATAATCACTGACGTGTATCTAATATAATCGAAATTCAGGGCTAGTTATAGTTATTGACGTTACAAGGCCGATATGCAACAAATAACGGATGAGGTTCAATATTTTAGTTAGGTAATCAGAAGTTTCTGACAAACCAAGCAATAGATGAATCTCAAATGTTGATGGTATGAATAAATTGATATGATCTACCCGTCTAAAATATTCCAAACTATGGGGCGTTGCCTTTTCTACTAGGAAGTAGCAGCAACTTTGAATATTCGAATGAAACACCTTGTATCTCATTGCATTTTTCAATTTTTCCTGAAGAGCTGCATCCATGAATGAATGAGAATTGGGGTCTAGCGGAGATGATTACAGAGATAGAGGGTGTTCAAGATCGAGGTGCAGCTATCTTTCAACTTATAGGAAGAGTAAAAACAGTATTTCATAAACATCAGGTGGTTGATTGATTGTTGATTGATTGATTGATAGCAGAATGATCAGTCAGGGTTTGAAGCCCAAAACACTGCAGCCTTTGGGCCTATTGTATTCCTGATCATGCTGTTGACTTAGGTGAACAGGTTCGCTACCTTGATAAGGTTTGGCAGCCTCATCACCAAATCATTCGTCGGAAAAGCCTCTTGGGAGTTTACTGCTCCCAGAAGGTTGTATCTCCAACGCGCTAGTGCTTCAGGTGGTTACTCACCTCAATACTCTTTGCCACCTGAAGATGATAATGCTGATTCGATGATCATTTTTTAGTTACCTTGGGAACAACACATGTAGAATAGGACACGTTCAGATACCTAACTAAAATGCGCTGAAGAGTCAATAAACTTACAAAAAGAAACTAAAACCAATGAAGAGTACTCGAACGTTCAACAGGTAACAGATTCATTATGGTTAACAATTTTCACACGCACAACTACATTCATAACCTATAGTACCACAAATCCTCTAGAATTTCTTCTGCTCTGGTAGGGGATTTCTCGTTCGGCTTCAAGAGTTTATAACTTTTTTCAACGGACATAACAGGCCTTGAACCAGACGATATCTCTTGTTCAGCATGATTCGATCTATCTAATCATAGATTTTCACAAAATATCACCGTAGACAAGATTTCAATGTCAATGGTGCAGGGTCCTCCATGAAAGTATTAGGATGGGTTACACAGAACTATAGAAGAATATCATCTCTATGAATAGCTTACTCACCGGAATTTCACAAAATTGCTCCACATCCTAACCATTCTCCTTCTTATCAAATGATCGGTATCTGGGACATCAGTATCATATTGTCTGAAAAGGTATCCTATATCTTCTGAATGTCCTACTCCTGTAAAAATGTATGGTATAAAGAGTTATAAAAGTTGAGGTAGAATTCTTGAGTTCACAATAATAACTTGAAGGGTACACAGGAAAATATCAGTTTATGGGACTGAATATTCATTTAATTCGGTGAATTTAAAAAATGGGTAGATACCGACAAGCACATAATCTCAACTCTTCCTGGCCCAAAATCTCAAGCTCCAGCAAGGGCTTTCCCCATTTCTAAACTATCACCCTCTGAGTTCTCCATACTCAATTCATTACCTGTAATTGACCACCTTCTATTATATACAGTGAGGACCAAAAGTCCGTCGCCCCCCCTGTAACTTCTTTATTCTACATATTACAAAAAAATGTTGAATACATAAGTTGTAGGGTTTCATTTGATCTCTTTAATGTTTTTAGTTTCATCCATACAGAGTGTCTCTAAAAAGCACGGTGACTTAGAAGTAAATTTTTTTAAATGGGACACCCTGTATTTCATTGCATTATTACATTCTACGTTGAATTCTGAACAAGTTTGATAAATGGTTTTCTATCAAAAAAGTTAATAGTTTTGGACTTATGAACACTTGTAAATAATTATTTCGACTACTTTTGCGCCAGTTCAATGAGAAAATCGTAACAAATGGATCACAAAAGTAGTCTGAATAATTATTTACAAGTGTTCATAAGTCCAAAACTATTAACTTTTTTGATAGAAAACCATTCTCAAACTTGTTCAGAATTCAACGTAGAATGTAATAATGCAATGAAATACAGGGTGTCCCATTTAAAAAAATTAACTTCTAAGTCACCGTGCTTTTTAGGGACACTCTGTATGAATGAAACTTAAACCATTAAAGGGATCGAATGAAACCCTACAACTTATGAGGTCTACCCGAAGGTACTACAAACAACTCAGATATCTCACAAGTGAAGCACTTTCTCAACAGCTTTGTGTTAATAAGTGATATACGATAATATATTTAAATAGATTCAGATTATCTTTATTCAAAATTCATTGACAATCTATCTCTTGTCATCTGGCCTGACGTTGTTATGTACAGTGAGATACTTAACATTATATTTTATTTTAAAAGATAACTAGATTATCTAACATCTCCCTTTTCAACAAATACTTAAACATTTTCTGAAGTAACGAATCTATGTGGAGGCTTAACAATTCGGCCACTTCTAGTTGTGACACTACTACGATCTGCCTGACTACGATCTGCCTGTATATCTAATCTTTCACCCTCATAATCTTGACTTGTTTCATCGCTTATCTCTTCTTCATTCATTTTCTCTTGATCCAAACATTTCTCATTATTATCTTCTCTAATTCTTATAAAATATTTTTCTCTATTCTCATTTTCTTCTACTTCCAATTTTGTGTGTGATGAGGGAGAAGGATTGAACACATGATGGTTTGTTTGATTAAATATTTTGATGAATTTTCTATTTCGAACATACTCTGAACCATCATCTGTCCTTACAAGGTATGAACGAAATCTGAACTTATCTTTGACAATACCAGGTTTCCAACTACCTTTTGGTGTCAACTGAACTAAAATTCTATCATTGATATTCAAATTTGGTAATTCTCTGACACCTTTTTTTTCATGATACATTTTTTGAATTCTTTGTGTTTTTTCTAAAAAATCGGAATATTTCTCAGTGTCAATAATCTCAGGCTTCAAACTTTGTTCGGTACAAGGAAGTATAGATCTCAATTTTCTAGACATGAGAATTTGAGATGGAGAAATATTTTCATGTATTGGCATATTATGATACAATAAAATAGCGAGATACAAATCTTTTTGATCCTCCAAAGTTTTTTTAAAAATTGCTTTCGCATTTTGAACTTGTCTTTCAGCCATTCCATTAGACTGAGGATAAGTGGGTGAGCTAAAAATATGTTCGAATTCCCATTCTTTGGAGAATGATTTGAATTGATTTGAAGAAAACTGGGGACCTCCATCAGATACAAGAATCTGTGGAATACCATGCCTAGCGAAAATAGATTTTATTTTTGTTATAATGCAGTTACTACTAATATCTCGTGGCAATTTCTCTATTTCTACAAATTTAGAATAATAATCTATCAATAATAAATATTTTTCATTTTTCAATTCAAAAATGTCACACCCAACTTTGTTCCAAGGAAGCCTTGGTATTTCATGAGATATGAGAGGCTCTGATAACTGAGAGTTGAAGTATTTTTGACAAATGAAACAGCTATCTATGAATTGTTTGACATCATTAGTTATGTTCGGCCAAAAAACAGAATCAGTTGCTAATTTCAAACATTTCTTTGTACCCAAATGATTGTAATGAATTTTGTTCAACATTTCTCTTCTCATACTTTGAGGAATCACCAACTGTTGTCCTTTATAAATTAAATCTTCAATAATAGTGAGCTCGCTTCTATATTTGTAATAAGGGGTCGTGAATTCATTCAATTTTTTGCTATTATTAGGCCATCCATTCATAATAATTTTCTTTAACTCTGACAATTGACGGTCTTGATTAGTTTCATTTCTAATTTCTTGATTTTTAGAATCTGTTATATTTATCTGTGAAGTTATAAGACAAACCTGAGCTTGAAGTTCAATATCAAAATTATCATCACCTGTATCATCGATATAAGCTCGCGATAACATATCTGCTATTATCAATTGTTTTCCTGGCTTGTATTTAAGATCAATATCATATTTTTGTATTTGCAGTATCATTCTTTGGAGACGTGCTGGACATTTGTTCAGAGGTTTCTTGAAAATTGATATTAAAGGTAAATGATCAGTTTCTACAATGACTTTTTTCCCAAATATATATTCACTGAATTTATTTAATCCAAAACAAATAGCTAGCATTTCTTTCTCAATTTGAGCGTATCTAATTTGAGTGTCTGTTAATGCTTTCGAAGCATAGGCACAAGGTAATCCATCTTGAAGTAATACAGCTCCCAAACCAGCTTTAGAACTATCTACAGAAATGATTGTATCTTTAGAAACGTCAAAAAATTTTAAAACTTTGCTAGATATTAAAATGTTCTTCAAATTTTCGAAAGATTTCTCTTGGGCTGATCCCCATTGAAACATTATATTTTTCTTTAATAACTCCCTCAATGGAGTAGTCTCAGTAGAAAAATTTGGAATAAATTTACTCAAATAATTCAACATCCCTATGATTCTTTGTATGTCTTCTTTACATGTCGGTCTCGGTAAATTCTTTATAGCATTGACTTTATTCTCATCGATAGATATACCCTCAGCGGATATCATATGACCCAAATATTTTATATTGTTTTTACCAAATTTACATTTCGAGAAATTAAATTTTATGTTATTATCCTTAGCAACCTCTAACAGTCTCTTCAACCGATTATCATGTTCTATCTTATTTTTTCCCCACACAATTATATCATCTATGTATACATCAACTCCTTCACATTCACTGAAAATTGATCGAAATCTTTCATGAAATACTTCAGGAGCTGACTTTATACCAAAAGGCATCCTCAAAAATTTATATCTGCCAAAAGGAGTACCAAATGTACATAGTTCTGAACTAGTTTTATCTAACAATATTTGATAAAATCCACTCGTAGCATCCAGACTACTGAACACTTTTGCTCCATTCAACTTACAAGTGATCTCATCAATAGTTGGAATTTGACAATATTCTCGTTTGATTACTTTGTTTAAGTCTTTTGGATCTAGGCAAACTCTGATAGAACCATCTGGTTTTTTTACCAAAACAAGAGCATTTACCCAGTCACTAGGACCATTCACTTTTTCTATTATTTTTTGACTCTCAAGATTTGCTAAGCAATCTTTCAATTTTGGTAGCAACGGTAATGGAACTCGCCTGATAGGATGTACCACTGGTGTAGCACCATCAATTATTTTAATATGATATGGGTCACGTAAACACCCTATTCCTGAAAATATTTCTCCATACTGATTTAAAATGGAATCATAATTAATTTTTTCAGAAAGGTCATCAATTTTATGAATAATATTCAACATTTGACAAGAAGGCAATCCTAAAATTGCTTGTGTTCTAGTTTTTACAATGAAGAAATCCATCGGAAATGCCGTTTTTTTATAAATACAAGGAATATTACAAACACCTACTATATCCAAAGAGTTTCCAGTATACGATTTCAATTTCATGTCAGTTTCCATTATTTTAGTTTTCGTAATTCCAACTTGGCTCAAATGTTCTAATGATAATACATTGCACATTGCTCCGGTATCAATTTTCATTTTCAAATCTATATTATTTATAGTAATATACGTGTACCATACATTATCAAAACCCTGATTATCAACTGCATCTATCTCAATAGTGCCTACAAAAAAGCCATCATTTTCATCTGAATTTGAGTTTCTAGGATTATCATTTTCAATTTCATTCACTTTTCTATTTTTACATACCTTCGAAAAGTGATTTCTCATTTTGCAAATGGAACAAAATTTTCCATATGCTGGACATTCATTAATTCCATGATTATTACTACATTTCGAACAAGAATATATAATTTTATTTTTGTATGTACTCGTTGGAAACCTATTATTGCCATTTGAACTAGTCCTAAACCGTGAATTATATTGTGCCTTATTGACAGAACCTATGACAGATGTAGTATTTTCACCTGCTTCAATTTCTTTGCATTGCTCCTTGGATGTTTCTAAAATCTTGCATTGCTCTATTGCTTGATCTAACGTGAAATTATCATTCTGCAGAAGCTTTTCTCTAATTTCATTATTTCGAACTCCACAGATTATCATAGTTTTGATGAGACTGTCCTGTAAATTTTCTAACTTGCATTTCTGGGCTTGTTCTTTGAGTCTGATGAGAAAACTCTCCAGTGACTGACCAACTTCCTGTCTCATGGTGAAAAACATGTATCGTTCATATGAAAGATTTTCTTTGGGTAAGAAGTGCTGTTCAAAATTTTTCAAGAGTACTGCTAACTTATCTCTATCAGCGGCGGGAATTTCAAAGGTTCGGTAAATT